TATTAAATCAATAGGCTAATCCTCCACCTTGCGGCGCCGGCACACCGGGTTCTAGTCCCGGTCGGGGCGCCGGATTCTGTCCCGGTTGCCCCTCTTCCAGGCCAGCTCTCTGCTATGGCCAGGGAGTGCAGTGGAGGATGGCCCAGGTGCTTGGGCCCTGCACCCCATGGGAGACCAGGAAAAGCACCTGGATCCTGGCTCCTGCCATCGGATCAGCGCGGTGCGCCGGCTGCAGCGGCGGCCATTGGAGGGTGAACCAACGGCAAAGGAAGACCTTTCTCTCTCTGTCTCTCTCTCTCACTGTCCACTCTGCCTATCAAAAAAAAAAAAAAAAAGATGGTATTAAACACACTTACTAAGAATCAATTGGCCAGTGCTGCGGCTCACTAGGCTAATCCTCTGCCTGCAGCGCCGGCACCCTGGGTTCTAGTCCTGGTTGGGCCACTGGATTCTGTCCTGGTTGTTCCTCTTCCAGTCCAGCTTTCTGCTGTGGCCTGAGAGTGCAGTGGAGGATAGCCAAGTGCTTGGGCCCTGCACCTGCGTGGGAAACCAGGAGGAAGCACCTGGCTCTTGGCTTTGGATCTGCGCAGTGCGCTGGCTGTAGTGGCCATTTCGGGGGTGAACCAATGGAAAAGGAAAACCTTTCTCTCTGTCTCTCTCTCTGTGTCATAACTGTGCCTGTCCAAAAAAAAAAAAAAAAAAAAAAAGAATCAGTTAATGTGTCCATATTAATAAAAAAGGAAAACTCTGGATGAATGTGAACTTATGATGTAGGAGGAATGATAGACCAAAGGAAGATAATATTTTGCATATACAGGGTAGTAACTAAGTTAGCTAAGAGTTTTTATTGGGTACTGAAACCTTTTTTTTTTCTTATAAAAGATGGTTAAGGAGAAAGATACTTATATGGATTCCAAGTATCAGCCAAAGATTGTCATGTATCAATCAAAACAGTAAAAAATAAGTTCCTTCATGATGGAGAGATTCGTCTTACCACCTTAACCAAGTGATCAAATTTAGTGCATCTTTTGTTGTGTTGTAATGGGGAGGATACTTTGCCTTGTATGCTTTGACATAGTATTCTTGTTTCACTTCAGTCTAATCATAAAACAATTAGAGGAGCAGGCCTTTGAAGCAGCAGGTGATGGCTCAAGTATTTGGGTCCCTGCCACCCACGTGGGAGGCCCATATTGAATTCCCAAATCCTAGCTTTGGCCTGGCATAGCCCTGAGCATTGAGGGCATCTGGGGAGTAAATCAGTGAATGGGAGATATTTGCCTATTTGTCTCCCTCTCTCTGTTCCTCTTTCAAATAAATAAAAAGAAAAAGAGAAGCTAGATTTCTTTCAAGGATAGCTATGACAAAAAAGTTGAACAAGGATGAGGAGAATGTTCTAGTCAGTTTTCAGTTGAAAGATAATGCAAATGTGTATTTAAATGTAGTTACTGTATAATTATGATTACTATATAATTATTATATCTTAGAAGTCCACAGTGCATATTATACTTACAACATGTCTTGATTCAGGGTAACCGTACTTAATAGTTATATCCTGTTGGATACCATATTGGATGGAGAAGTTCTAGGTTAAAAAATTGGCCTAAGAGACCGTGTGAGTGTTGGTTAGATTGCAAAATAAGAAAAAAGGAAACATATAGAAGGGATGTTTTGGGTACAATTAGGAGATTATGTATTATATATTAGTATGATTGCAACAGTGCTTTTTGGGTAGTTATTGTGAGTTTGGATGAGATGTATTTTCAAGGACTACATGATGAAGTAATTATATATCAGTAAAGTTAGTATTTGAATAGTTAAATTAGTAAGCTTGATTCATTTGATAAATATAGGACAATGCTGCTTTTTAAAATAATATTTATTTATTTGAAAGTCAATTACAGAGAGGGATGGAGGGTCAGAGAGAAAGAGAGAGAGAGAGATATCTTTCATCCACTGGTTCCCTCCCCAGAAGGCTGCAATGTCCAGGACTGGGCCAGGCTGAAGCCAGGGTCCAGGAGCTTCTTCCTGGTCTTCCACATGGGTTGTAGCAGCTCAAACATTTAGGCCATTTTCTGCTGCTTTTCCCAGGCCATTATTAGAGAGCTGGATCAGAAGTGGAGCAGCTGGGATACGAACTGGTGCCCATATGAGAAGCCAGTGTTGTAGGTGTTGCTATTACCCATTTTGCCACAATACTGGTCCCAGGACAGTGCTTTTTAAAAACAGAGAATATATGTTATTTTCAGACATATATAGATCATTATGAAAACTGAATATATCTATAAAGCAGAAGTCAACATGTTTCTTAAAATTGCAATTATATGGAACATTTTCTGTGATTAAGGTGAGATTAAGTTATAACAAAATTTTTTTTAAAATTCAAAATTTATACATAAAATATTATTTAAGCAAAGTGTGGCAGAGAGATTGGAAGGTGTTATGGTTGGAGTCAGGTGTCTAATTGAGGAATCTATTAGTGTTCTAGATGAGAGACGATAAAGGCTTTGCTTGAATGGGAAATGATGGCTTAATGATTGATTGTATGAAAGAGTTAAAGGGGAGTATGAATAGTGAAGACAGCTTCCAGGTTTCTAGACAGACAATAACATCATTAATTGGGAGATTTAGTTGACTGTTCAAATATGGAACTGATAAATGGTCTGAGAGAGACCATATGGATTTGTGATCCATGCACATTTAAATGATAAATATAGCCATAGTAGTGGACCAAATCATTCAAGTAAGTATTAGAAGTTAGCTAAAGAAAGAATAGAGGTGCATGGTGTACAAAATAGCTGGAGATGGTCCAAGCAAAAAGACCTCAGGTAGGAGATAAGTGAATAGTCATGAGAGAAGGGACTTGAAAGGATGATTGATTGCAGGTGAATGAATGAATGATTGATTCCAGCTGGGCTCTGAGGCGAGCATGACAAGTAGTATTAAGGACTGGAGGTTGTTCTCTTCTCCTAAATTTTTAATTTATTCATTTGAAAGGCAGAGAGAGGAGAGGAGAGGACAGAAGAGAGATGAGGAAAAATGAGATCTTCTATCTGCTGGTTCACTCCTCAGATGCCCACAATAAGCAATGCTAGACCAGGCCAAAGCCAGGAGTCAAGAACTCCCTCCAAGTCTCTCATGTGAGTCTCTCATGTGAGCGACAGGAACCAAAGTACTTGGGCTATAATCTGCTGCCTCCCAGATACATTAGCAGGAGGCTGAATAGGACACAGAATGGCTGGGACTCAAACCAGGCATTCTAATATAAGTTGTAGGCATCCCAACTTGTGACTTAACCTCTGTGTCATAGGGCCTGTCTCTGGTTGGCAGTTTTAATGCTTTATGTTCCTTTTGCTTCGTTTTATTACAAAACTCCTGAATGAGAGTATTCATCATTTTACCTGCATATATGAATAGAAGAGAATCTTTCCATTCATTGGTATGTGCTGTTCTCTCATAGGCATTTTTTATTTCCATTCTTCTGGTCTCTTTTACTAATTAATTAGAAGTAGTTTATGTTGACTGTTCTAGAACTGAAGTTCTAGTGTTTGGTGAAATTTGGAGATTAGATTTTCAAAAAGGGAATAGTTATAAACTTGGAGAAGTTGTAATCTGCTCAGGTTCTGGTTCCATATCTAAAATTGTATTTGATCTAATTAGGACCAGCATTGGATTTTCATGTTTTAATTGCGTTTCTAGAACTCTCCTTTATTCAATGCCCCTATCTATATATTTTAATATATATATCTATATATTTTAAATATAAATTATATAAGGTAGTCTACTATGTTCTTGTATAGGATAATATGTTCTAATACTGAAACTCCAAACTAGTTTATACATTTTTCTAAAATAAAAGGCTTGTTTCATATGTTCTCTATATCTTTTAAAATACCTGAATTAGTAGATAGTACTCAAGAAATACTTAGTATTTTTGTTATAATATATAAAACTATATAATAGTCCCATTATCTGTATAATATAGAATAGTAGGTATTTAAAACCCATTTATATAAATTTTTTAGATTCTAAGAACTTAATTAAAAACTTTTTTTTTTTTTTGAGAGTCAGAGCTAGACAGTGAGAGAGAGAGAGACAGAGAGAAAGGTCTTCCTTCTGTTGATTCACCCCCAAATGGCCACTACGGCCAGCGCGCTGTGCAGATCCGAAACCAGGAGCCAGGTGCCAGGTGCTTCCTCCTGGTCTCCTATGCGGGTGCAGGGCCCAAGGAGCTGGGCCATCCTCCACTGCTCTCCCGGGCCACAGCAGAGAGCTGGACTGGAAGAGGAGCAGCCGGGACAGAATCCGGCCCCCCAACCAGGACTAGAACCCTGGGTGCCGGCGCCGTAGGTAGAGGATTAGTCTAGTGAGCTGCAGCGCTGGCCTCTTTTAATTTTTTTGTTATATCCAAGTACACTTCATTATCATTATCTGCAGCTACCCTATGTTGCCTACTGTGCAGTTGAACTAGATTTTAGTTGTTTTGTTTGTTATTATTTTCAAAGCTGGCCCTTTGTCTTTTTGGATTTTAGTTCTATTCTCTATTAAATGATGATATTTCTGGAACATTCAATGTTCCTATTTACATTAAGTAATGATTTGCTAAGTTATTATAAAATTGTAGGCCCATCTAAAAAAACTAAGCTTTATGAGGTAATGATGACAGTAAGAACTGCTGATGTATGTGCAGAAGAGTCTCTTTGCATTCATTGGTATGTGATGGCATTTCTCTAGGAGCTATCTCCTTTCTGATATATGTAGTTCATTTACTTGATATTTTTCACTCTTAAATTTTAGTAACTGCAAAACATCCAAGTGACATAGGGTGAAAAAGAACCACTAAAATTTGCTTTGAGTAGCTCTATTAGTGCTTTCGTTTCTTAAAGAATATTCTGTTATTGTAAAAAAAAATCTGGGATTTGAAATTTCATTGGAAAAAATGTGTTTAAAAAATGAAAACTTTTAGTAGCATGCAATCAATGCTTTTTCTTTTTAAATTCCAGAACAAGTTAAACTGGGTAAAATTGTGACAGATATTGACTCAGTGAGCAAAAAAATGGAGAAAGAAAAACAAAACCTTGAGAATTCCAGGTAATGTGTAATTAGTTAACCTATAAGAGATACATATTTTCTTTTACTACACTGATAATCTTTGAAAAACTGTTATGATTTCTCAAGTCTGTCTATTAAAACCCGATGCATGAGGCTAATTTTACCTTCTGCTTGAGTCCCTCTAAGCATATCAATTATCAAAATTTTAGTTTTCAGTTCAATTAACTTTTGAACTGGAGGATGTCTGAGTAGTTAAGCAAACCATCTGGGTTTTATAGTGCATAAGCTGAAACCCAATTTGTGTCTTTCTTGAGAAAAATGCCATATTTTATGATAATATTACATAAGTCTGGAATTTTAATAACTCATCTGCAGTAATTTTGGAGCAGAGTAAGTTATAATTTTCCTTTTAGAATCTAATAATTAAAGGTTAGTCTCTTTCTAACAGAAGGTGAGGCTGGTTCTACAGAACATAGTTGAATACAAGAATTTTGAGCATATTTTTTACTTCCCATAAGTGTCTAGAGATGGGTCAGTTACTTTTATAAATTAGTTAATGAAATAGCATCACCATCTTTAAGATATTTTTAAAGAATTATTTTTTGTTTATTTGAAAGGCAGAGTTACAGAGAGAGGAGGAGGAGAAGGAGAGAGTGAAGGAGAGAGCACAAAAGAGTGTGTGTGCACTGTGTGTGCACTAGCTCTTCCATTCATTGGTTCACTCCTCAAATGGTTTCTATGGCTGGGGCTGGACCAAGCCGCAACCAGGAGCCTGGAGCCTCTTCCAGGTCTCCAACGTGGGTGCAGGGGCCCAAGGAATTGAACCATCCTCTGCTGCTTTCCCAGGTATATTAGCAGGGAGCTTGGATCAGAAGTGGAGCAGCTTGTTCATGAACTGATGCCCATATGGTATGCCCACATCACAGGTGGTGGCTTAACCTGTGATGCTACAGTGCTGATCCCTTCAAGATAATTTTTAATTTATGTACACCCATGTTGGCCCTAAAGCTACATATAGCACTTCTAACAGCCTTTCGGCACATATTGTATAGGAACATTTACACCTGTAGAATGTAAACACTGCTCTGTTGCTATTTTAATATATGTATTTTTATTCTTGATACAAATTATATACTTATTTATGGTATATAGTATGATACTATTTTAATTAATATAAACAGGACAGATTTTATTCTTTCCATAGGTACAATTCCAAGAAGAAAACCACACTCCCCTACCTGATACTACTCCCTCCCATTCCTCTCATCAGAATTTGCAAAGTCATAATTTTAATCCACCATATGTTCACAGAGTTAATTGACCACTCATCATAGTATTCAATGAATAAAAAGTAGGAAGACCATAGTTCCACAGAAGTATAAACAAGAGCTAAAAATGACAATCATATACCAAGATAATCATTTCAGTACTATACATTTTTTGTGTTCTGTATTAGCTGCCACATATTAGAGAATATGGTATTTGCCATTTTGAGACTGGTTTATTTCACTAAGCAAAATAATTTCCAATTTCATCTATTTTGTTGTAAAATACAGGACTTCATTGTTTTTTATGGCTGATTAGTATCCCATAGTGAATACATACCAGATTTTCTGTACCAATTCATCATTTGATGGACATCTGGGTTGATTCCAGGTCTTAGTTATTGTGGATTGAGCTGCAATAAACATGGGGGTACAAATAACTTTCATATGCTAATTTAATGTCACTTGGGTAAATTCTCAGGAGTGGGATGGCTGGGTAATATGGTATATCTATTTCCAGATCTCTCACAAATCTCCATACTATCTTCCATAAAGAATATGCTAGTTTACATTACCACCAACAGTAGATTAGTGTACCTTTTGCTCTGCTCCAAAGTAGGCATTTATTTATTTATTTATTTATTTTTGATTTTTGGTTAGAAGCTGTTAAAATTCAGGTAAGGTGATACCAACTGTGGTTTTGATGTGCATTTCTCTGATGGCTAGTGATCCTGAGCATTTTTTCATGTGTCAGGGTGACCATTTTTATTTCATCCTTTGAAAATTCCCTGTCCGTATCCTTTACCAATTTTCATGGGTAGTTTGTTTTGTTGTATTGAGTTTCTTGACCTTAGTATAGATTCTGATATTAATCCTTTATCAGTTGCATAGTGTGCAAATGCATTCTCCCATTCTGATGGTTGCCTGTTCTCTTTGCTGAGTATTTCCTTTGCAGTACAGAAACTTCTTAGCTTGATGTAATTCCATTTGTCTTTTCTTATCTTTATTGCCTATGTTCCTTGAGTCTTTTCCAAGTCTTTGTCTATTCCAATGTCTTGCAGAGTTTCCCTGATGTTTTCCTCTAGTAATTTGATGGTATCAGGTCATGGATATACATCCTTGATTCATTTTGAGTTGATTTTTGTATAAGGTGTAGGTAGGAGTCTTGTTGCATACTTCAACATGTGTAGATTGAATTTTCTCATCACGTTTTGTTCAAGACTCTCTTTTATCCAGGGATTGATCTCAGCCTGTTTGTCAAAGATTAGTTGGTTGTAGCAGTGTAGATTGATTTCTGGGGTTTCTGTTCTTTTCCAGTGGTCTACATGTCTATTTTTGGTGCCAGTACCATATTTTTTTTTTAAAGACTCATTCAATTTATTTGAAAGGTAGAGCTACAGAGATAGAGAGAGGTCCTCCATCTGCTGAGAGAGAGAGAGGTCTTCCATCTGCTGTTTCACTCCCCAGATGGCCACAAAGCTGCACAAATCTGAAGCCAGGAGCCAGGAGCTTCCTCTGGGTTTCCCGCATGGGTTCAGGGGCCTAAAGACTTGGACCATCTTCTAATACTTTCCTAGGCCCCACAGCAGAGAGCTGGATAGGAAGTGGAGCAGCCAGGACCCGAACCGGCACCCATATGGGATGCCAGCACCACAGGTGGAGGCCTTACCCACTACGCCACAGCGCCTGCCCCTGTAGTATGTCGTGAAGTCTAGTATTGTGATACCTCCAGTTTTATTGTTGTTGTTGTTGTTGTCATTTAAAATTGCTTTATATTTGGGGACTCTTCTGTTTCCATATGAATTTTAGCATAGTTTTTATCTAGATCTGAGAAGAATGTCTTGGTATTTTGATTGGGATCCTATGTAATCTGTAAAAAGCTTTCAGTAGTGTGGACATTTTGACAATATTAATTCTTCCAATCCATGAACATGGAAAGTTTTTCCACTTTTTGTGTCTTCTTCTATTTCAATATTTTATAATTTTCATTGTAGAGGTCTTTGATGAAAAAATCAACCATTAGTTTAATTGGGGATCTTCTGAAGGTAATCTGGCATTTCTCTTGTGCACATTTTAGAGTCTTTTCTTTATCTTTTACTTTTGAAAGTTTGACTACAATGTGTCATGGTTAAGTTCTTTTCTGTTCATGTTTATTATAGGAGTTCAATGTGCTTCCTCTACTTGGTGCCACTTTCTTCCCACAAATTAGGGAAATTTCTGCTGTTATTTTGCTAAATAGGCCTTCTAGTCCTTTCTTTCTTTCTTTCCATACCTTCAGGAACTCCTAAGACACATATGTTTGTTCATTTGATTGTATCCCATAAATATCAAATGCCATTTTCCATCTAATTTTCTTCTTCTTTTTTTTTTTTTTGGTCTATGATATTTCCAAGGATTTGTGTTATAGCTTGGATATTCTTTCTTCTGTCCCACCAAGTCTGTGGTTGTGGCTTTCCACTGTTTTTCTATTTGCCATACTGAATTCTTCATTTCTAATATTTCAGCTTCATTTGTCTTCAGTGTCTTTATCTTTCTGCAAGTGTTGTCATCCATATCATGTATGGATACCATTATCTCATGAATTTATTTTTCTGTGTCCCTGAGTAATCTTATCATTCTTTTGAATTCATATTCAGACATTCCGTAAATCTCTTCATTTTTCATATTCTAATATTGAAATTTTGCTGTGTTCTTTTGTGGAAGTCACTTTGTCTTCTTTGTTCTTGTTTCTTGTATTTTTGCATTTATTTTTAGGCTTTTGTGGAAACACTTGTTCCTTTTCTCTTCTGATACCTTTTATTATTGAACTATGCCTCTGTGGATTAGTGGTGACTGCTCTCAATGGATATCCACCTACATGTGCTAGGTGGAGCCATGGAACTCTGGCCAATGATCAAGGGTGGCATGAGCAACCAGGGTGGCACCAAGTTGAGTGTGGTAGATTTCCTGTATGTCGGCAGGGAGAATGGTATGATCACATTTCCTAGAATTAATCACAGCCTCTTCTCCTTGCAGTCAAGGTGATCATTGCCCAAGGTCATCCCACAGCGGGTACAGTCCCTCCTTATGCAGGCGCATGAGCTGCACAGAGGATCTAAGTGGTCTTTATTGTGAGCACAGAACCCTATTCAGTGACCCACCACAAGAAATCCGAGAACACTGAGCTTCTGAGTCCATACACAGTTATTGCCCAGAGACCCAGCTATGTCCTGTGGCCTATCATGTAGTCACAGAATTCCCACAGTCGCAGTAGGTAAGGCTCCTACAGTCACAGGGAACACTCTCAGCCCCAGATGCCTGCCCCATCCATGCAGAGAACAGAGGCCTTTCCAGAGCTAGTTCTCTCGGGGTTCTCTGCATTGGCAATTTGATCCTGGGAGTCTGTGATTGCGTGGGGAGATGAGAGCACCTCAAAGTCCTAAGTGGGTTCCCAGCCCCCATCAAACCCCTTCAGTCCAGATTCAAAGTCAGTGGGGAACGCTGATATATCCACGTGATAAAATCCCTTAAATGCATGTGTGAGAGCAGCTGCAGCCTCTGTTGGTCATTAAGGTGGCGCTTTCTCCCAGCTGGTTGCCAGGCCCCTTGTGGGATATGGGGAGAAAAAAAACACGTTTTTGTTTCATAGAGCCCTTGCTGGGCTCCAGGCTGGACTCAGTTTCAACGTTGTCTGCGAGGTTCTTCCTTAGACAGTATCACCAGTGACAGGGACTGCTCTCATCTTGCTCTCAGAAGCTGACAACTCCAGTCCTTAGCTGCAGAAGTCACTAGTGT